AGCGGTGTGATGTGTGTGTGAGAGAGATGAGGCATGTAGCGGTGTGTGTGTGTGAGAGAGATGAGGCGAAGTAGCGGTGTTGTGTGTGTGTGTGAGAGATGAGGCATGTAGCGGTGTTTGTGTGTGTGTGAGTGAGAGATGAGGGATGTAGCGGTGTGTGTGTGTGAGAGATGAGGCATGTAGCGGTGTGTGTGTGTGTGTGAGAGATGAGGGATGTAGCGGTGTGTGTGTGTGAGAGATGAGGCATGTAGCGGTGTGTGTGTGTGTGTGTGAGAGATGAGGGATGTAGCGGTGTGTGTGTGTGTGAGAGATGAGGGATGTAGCGGTGTGTGTGTGTGAGAGATGAGGCATGTAGCGGTGTGTGTGGTGTGTGAGAGATGAGGCATGTAGCGGTGTGTGTGTGTGTGTGAGAGATGAGGGATGTAGCGGTGTGTGTGTGTGTGAGAGATGAGGGCATGTAGCGGTGTGTGTGTGTGTGAGAGATGAGGCATGTAGCGGTGTGTGTGTGTGTGTGTGAGAGATGAGGGATGTAGCGGTGTGTGTGTGTGAGAGATGAGGCATGTAGCGGTGTGTGTGTGTGTGTGAGAGATGAGGGATGTAGCGTGTGTGTGTGTGAGAGATGAGGCATGTAGCGTGTGTGTGTGTGTGTGAGAGATGAGGGATGTAGCGGTGTGTGTGTGTGAGAGATGAGGCATGTAGCGGTGTGTGTGTGTGTGTGAGAGATGAGGGATGTAGCGGAGTGTGTGTGTGTGAGAGATGAGGCATGTAGCGTGTGTGTGTGTGTGAGAGATGAGGCATGTAGCGGTGTGTGTGTGTGAGAGATGAGGCATGTAGCGGTGTGTGTGAGAGATGAGGCATGTAGCGGTGTGTGTGTGTGTGTGAGAGAGATGAGGGATGTAGCGGTGTGTGTGTGTGTGTGAGAGATGAGGCATGTAGCGGTGTGTGTGTGTGATTGAGATGAGGATGTAGCGGTGTGTGTGTGTGTGTGAGAGATGAGGGATGTAGCGGTGTGTGTGTGTGAGAGATGAGGCATGTAGCGGTGTGTGTGTGTGAGAGATGAGGCATGTAGCGGTGTGTGTGTGTGAGAGATGAGGCATGTAGCGGTGTGTGTGTGTGTGTGTGAGAGATGAGGCATGTAGCGGTGTGTGTGTGTGTGTGAGAGATGAGGCATGTAGCGGTGTGTGTGTGTGTGTGAGAGATGAGGCATGTAGCGGTGTGTGTGTGTGTGAGAGATGAGGGATGTAGCGGTGTGTGTGTGTGTGTGTGAGAGATGAGGCATGTAGCGGTGTGTGTGTGTGTGTGAGAGATGAGGCATGTAGCGGTGTGTGTGTGTGTGTGAGAGATGAGGCATGTAGCGGTGTGTGTGTGTGTGAGAGAGATGAGGGATGTAGCGGTGTGTGTGTGTGTGTGAGAGATGAGGGATGTAGCGGTGTGTGTGTGTGTGTGAGAGATGAGGCATGTAGCGGTGTGTGTGTGTGAGAGATGAGGGATGTAGCGGTGTGTGTGTGTGAGAGATGAGGCATGTAGCGGTGTGTGTGTGTGTGAGAGAGATGAGGCATGTAGCGGTGTGTGTGTGTGTGAGAGAGATGAGGCATGTAGCGGTGTGTGTGTGTGAGAGATGAGGCATGTAGCGGTGTGTGTGTGTGTGAGAGAGATGAGGCATGTAGCGGTGTGTGTGTGTGTGAGAGATGAGGCATGTAGCGGTGTGTGTGTGTGAGAGAGATGAGGCATGTAGCGGTGTGTGTGTGTGTGTGTGTGAGAGATGAGGCATGTAGCGGTGTGTGTGTGTGTGAGAGAGATGAGGCATGTAGCGGTGTGTGTGTGTGAGAGATGAGGCATGTAGCGGTGTGTGTGTGTGTGAGAGAGATGAGGCATGTAGCGGTGTGTGTGTGTGTGAGAGATGAGGCATGTAGCGGTGTGTGTGTGTGTGTGTGAGAGATGATGGATGTAGCGGTGTTTGTGTGTGTGTGTGAGAGATGAGGCATGTAGCGGTGTGTGTGTGTGTGAGAGATGAGGCATGTAGCGGTGTGTGTGTGTGTGTGTGTGTGAGATGAGGGATGTAGCGGTGTGTGTGTGTGTGTGTGTGTGAGATGAGGGATGTAGCGGTGTGTGTGTGTGTGAGAGATGAGGCATGTAGCGGTGTGTGTGTGTGTGAGAGATGAGGCATGTAGCGGTGTGTGTGTGTGTGAGAGATGAGGCATGTAGCGGTGTGTGTGTGTGTGTGTGAGAGATGAGGCATGTAGCGGTGTGTGTGTGTAGAGATGAGGCATGTAGCGGTGTGTGTGTGTGTGAGAGATGAGGGATGTAGCGGTGTGTGTGTGTGTGAGAGATGAGGCATGTAGCGGTGTGTGTGTGTGTGAGAGATGAGGCATGTAGCGGTGTGTGTGTGTGTGAGAGATGAGGCATGTAGCGGTGTGTGTGTGTGTGTGAGAGATGAGGCATGTAGCGGTGTGTGTGTGTGTGAGAGATGAGGCATGTAGCGGTGTGTGTGTGAGAGATGAGGCATGTAGCGGTGTGTGTGTGTGTGAGATGAGGAATGTAGCGGTGTGTGTGTGTGTGAGATGAGGGATGTAGCGGTGTGTGTGTGTGTGTGTGAGAGATGAGGCATGTAGCGGTGTGTGTGTGTGTGAGAGATGAGGCATGTAGCGGTGTGTGTGTGTGTGTGTGAGAGATGAGGGATGTAGCGGTGTGTGTGTGAGAGATGAGGCATGTAGCGGTGTGTGTGTGTGTGTGAGATGAGGGATGTAGCGGTGTGTGTGTGTGTGAGAGATGAGGCATGTAGCGGTGTGTGTGTGTGAGAGATGAGGCATGTAGCGGTGTGTGTGTGAGAGATGAGGGATGTAGCGGTGTGTGTGTGTGTGTGTGAGAGATGAGGCATGTAGCGGTGTGTGTGTGAGAGATGAGGCATGTAGCGGTGTGTGTGTGTGAGAGATGAGGCATGTAGCGGTGTGTGTGTGTGTGAGAGATGAGGCATGTAGCGGTGTGTGTGTGTGAGAGATGAGGCATGTAGCGGTGTGTGTGTGTGAGAGAGATGAGGCATGTAGCGGTGTGTGTGTGTGAGAGATGAGGCATGTAGCGGTGTGTGTGTGTGAGAGATGAGGCATGTAGCGGTGTGTGTGTGTGTGAGAGATGAGGCATGTAGCGGTGTGTGTGTGTGTGAGAGATGAGGCATGTAGCGGTGTGTGTGTGTGTGAGAGATGAGGCATGTAGCGGTGTGTGTGTGTGAGAGATGAGGCATGTAGCGGTGTGTGTGTGTGAGAGATGAGGCATGTAGCGGTGTGTGTGTGTGAGAGATGAGGCATGTAGCGGTGTGTGTGTGTGTGAGAGATGAGGCATGTAGCGGTGTGTGTGTGTGTGAGAGATGAGGCATGTAGCGGTGTGTGTGTGAGAGATGAGGCATGTAGCGGTGTGTGTGTGTGTGTGTGAGAGATGAGGGATGTAGCGGTGTGTGTGTGTGAGAGATGAGGCATGTAGCGGTGTGTGTGTGTGTGTGTGAGAGATGAGGCATGTAGCGGTGTGTGTGTGTGTGAGAGATGAGGCATGTAGCGGTGTGTGTGTGTGAGAGATGAGGCATGTAGCGGTGTGTGTGTGAGAGATGAGGCATGTAGCGGTGTGTGTGTGTGTGTGTGAGAGATGAGGCATGTAGCGGTGTGTGTGTGTGTGAGAGATGAGGCATGTAGCGGTGTGTGTGTGTGAGAGATGAGGCATGTAGCGGTGTGTGTGTGTGAGAGATGAGGCATGTAGCGGTGTGTGTGTGTGAGAGATGAGGCATGTAGCGGTGTGTGTGTGTGTGTGTGAGAGATGAGGCATGTAGCGGTGTGTGTGTGTGTGAGAGATGAGGCATGTAGCGGTGTGTGTGTGTGTGTGAGAGATGAGGCATGTAGCGGTGTGTGTGTGTGTGAGAGATGAGGCATGTAGCGGTGTGTGTGTGTGTGTGTGAGAGATGAGGCATGTAGCGGTGTGTGTGTGTGTGTGTGAGAGATGAGGCATGTAGCGGTGTGTGTGTGTGTGTGTGAGAGATGAGGGATGTAGCGGTGTGTGTGTGTGAGAGATGAGGCATGTAGCGGTGTGTGTGTGTGTGTGTGAGAGATGAGGCATGTAGCGGTGTGTGTGTGTGTGTGTGAGAGATGAGGCATGTAGCGGTGTGTGTGTGAGAGATGAGGCATGTAGCGGTGTGTGTGTGTGTGTGTGAGAGATGAGGCATGTAGCGGTGTGTGTGTGTGTGAGAGATGAGGCATGTAGCGGTGTGTGTGTGTGTGTGAGAGATGAGGCATGTAGCGGTGTGTGTGTGTGTGAGAGATGAGGCATGTAGCGGTGTGTGTGTGTGTGTGTGAGAGATGAGGCATGTAGCGGTGTGTGTGTGTGTGTGTGAGAGATGAGGCATGTAGCGGTGTGTGTGTGTGTGTGTGAGAGATGAGGGATGTAGCGGTGTGTGTGTGTGAGAGATGAGGCATGTAGCGGTGTGTGTGTGTGTGTGTGAGAGATGAGGCATGTAGCGGTGTGTGTGTGTGTGTGTGAGAGATGAGGCATGTAGCGGTGTGTGTGTGTGTGTGTGAGAGATGAGGCATGAGGCATGTAGCGGTGTGTGTGAGAGTGGTGTGTGTAGGAGATGATGCACAGGTGTTCTCCTGAGCTCCTCTAAAGCATCTCTGGTGTTCTCGAGTCTCAGGTGTGCTGTACCTCCATGGCGTCCTGGTCGTTCTCCATCAGCTCGCCCTTCTTCTTGGAGGTGTGCGGCATCTTCCTCGTCTTCATCACGGTCATCACTTTAGTGACGGACATGCCTCCTTTCTGCTGACACACACGCAGAGCAGCGCCGTTACTCAGGGCTCACACACACACACACACACACAGAGCAGCGCCGTTACTCAGGGCTCACACACACACACACACACACAGAGCAGCGCCGTTACTCAGGGCTCACACACACACACAGAGCAGCGCCGTTACTCAGGGCTCACACACACACACAGAGCAGCGCCGTTACTCAGGGCTCACACACACACACAGAGCAGCGCAGCCCTGATCACTCTAAACACCCTGATCACTCTAAACACCCTGATCACTCTGATCACTCTAAACACCCTGAGCACTCTAAACACCCTGAGCACTCTAAACACCCTGATCACTCTAAACACCCTGATCACTCTAAACACCCTGATCACTCTAAACACCCTGATCACTCTAAACACCCTGATCACTCTAAACACCCTGATCACTCTAAACACCCTGATCACTCTAAACACCCTGATCACCCTGATCACTCTAAACACCCTGAGCACTCTAAACACCCTGAGCACTCTAAACACCCTGATCACTCTAAACACCCTGATCACTCTAAACACCCTGATCACTCTAAACACCCTGATCACTCTAAACACCCTGATCACTCTAAACACCCTGATCACTCTAAACACCCTGATCACTCTAAACACCCTGATCACTCTAAACACCCTGATCACTCTAAACACCCTGATCACTCTAAACACCCTGATCACTCTAAACACCCTGATCACTCTAAACACCCTGATCACTCTAAACACCCTGATCACTCTAAACACCCTGATCACTCTAAACACCCTGATCACTCTGAGCACCCTGATCACTCTAAACACCCTGATCACTCTAAACACCCTGATCACTCTGAGCACCCTGATCACTCTGAGCACCCTGATCACTCTGAGCACCCTGATCACTCTTATCACTCTAAGCACCCTGATCACTCTGAGCACCCTGATCACTCTGAGCACCCTGATCACTCTGAGCACCCTGATCACTCTGAGCACCCTGATCACTCTGAGCACCCTGATCACTCTGAGCACCCTGATCACTCTGAGCACCCTGATCACTCTTATCACTCTAAGCACCCTGATCACTCTGAGCACCCTGATCACTCTGAGCACCCTGATCACTCTGAGCACCCTGATCACTCTGAGCACCCTGATCACTCTGAGCACCCTGATCACTCTAAACACCCTGATAACTCTAAACACCCTGATCACTCTAAACACCCTGATCACCCTAAACACCCTGAGCACCCTGAGCACCCTGATCACTCTGAGCACCCTGATCACTCTGAGCACCCTGATCACTCTGAGCACCCTGATCACTCTGAGCACCCTGATCACTCTGAGCACCCTGATCACTCTAAACACCCTAAACACCCTGATCACTCTAAACACCCTGATCACTCTAAACACCCTGATCACCCTGATCACTCTAAACACCCTGATCACTCTAAACACCCTGATCACTCTAAACACCCTGATCACTCTGAGCACTCTAAACACCCTGATCACTCTGAGCACCCTGATCACCCTGATCACTCTCTCTGAGCACCCTGATCACTCTCTCTGAGCACCCTGATCACTCTAAACACCCTGAGCACCCTGATCACTCTAAACACCCTGATCACTCTAAACACCCTGATCACTCTAAACACCCTGATCACTCTAAACACCCTGATCACTCTAAACACCCTGATCACTCTAAACACCCTGATCACTCTAAACACCCTGATCACTCTAAACACCCTGATCACTCTAAACACCCTGATCACTCTAAACACCCTGATCACTCTGAGCACCCTGATCACTCTGAGCACCCTGATCACTCTGAGCACCCTGATCACTCTAAACACCCTGATCACTCTAAACACCCTGATCACTCTGAGCACCCTGATCACTCTGAGCACCCTGATCACTCTGAGCACCCTGATCACTCTTATCACTCTAAGCACCCTGATCACTCTGAGCACCCTGATCACTCTGAGCACCCTGATCACTCTGAGCACCCTGATCACTCTGAGCACCCTGATCACTCTGAGCACCCTGATCACTCTGATCACTCTGAGCACCCTGATCACTGATCACTCTGATCACTCTAAACACCCTGATCACTCTAAACACCCTGATCACTGATCACTCTGAGCACCCTGATCACCCTGATCACTCTGAGCACCCTGATCACTCTAAACACCCTGATCACTCTAAACACCCTGATCACTCTAAACACCCTGATCACTCTAAACACCCTGATCACTCTAAACACCCTGATCACTCTAAACACCCTGATCACTCTAAACACCCTGATCACTCTGAGCACCCTGATCACTCTGAGCACCCTGATCACTCTGAGCACCCTGATCACTCTGAGCACCCTGATCACTCTGAGCACCCTGATCACTCTGAGCACCCTGATCACTCTGATCACTCTAAACACCCTGATCACTCTGAGCACCCTGATCACTCTGAGCACCCTGATCACTCTGAGCACCCTGATCACTCTGAGCACTCTAAACACCCTGATCACTCTAAACACCCTGATCACTGAGCACCCTGATCACCCTGATCACTCTGAGCACCCTGATCACTCTGAGCACCCTGATCACTCTGAGCACCCTGATCACTCTAAACAACACCCTGATCACTCTAAACAACACCCTGATCACTCTAAACACCCTGATCACTCTAAACAACACCCTGATCACTCTGAGCAGTCTAAACACCCTGATCACTCTGAGCACCCTGATTACTCTAAACACCCTGATCACTCTGAGCACCCTGATCACCCTGATCACTCTGAGCACCCTGATCACTCTGAGCACCCTGATCACTCTAAACAACACCCTGATCCCTCTAAACAACACCCTGATCCCTCTAAACAACACCCTGATCACTCTAAACACCCTGATCACTCTAAACACCCTGATCACTCTAAACACCCTGATCACTCTAAACACCCTGATCACTCTAAACACCCTGATCACTCTAAACACCCTGATCACTCTAAACAACACCCTGATCACTCTGAGCACCCTGATCACTCTGAGCACCCTGATCACTCTAAACAACACCCTGATCCCTCTAAACAACACCCTGATCACTCTAAACAACACCCTGATCACTCTAAACAACACCCTGATCACTCTAAACAACACCCTGATCACTCTAAACAACACTAAACAACACCCTGATCACTCTAAACAACACCCTGATCACTCGGAGCACCCTGATCACTCGGAGCACCCTGATCACTCTGATCACTCTAAACACCCTGATCACTGATCACCCTGATCACTCTAAACACCCTGATCACTGATCACTCTAAACGCACTGATCACTGATCACTCTGAGCACCCTGATCACCCTGATCACTCTAAACACCCTGATCACCCTTATCACTGATCACCCTGATCACTCTGAACACCCTGATCACTCTGAACACCCTGATCACTCTGAACACCCTGATCACTCTGAACACCCTGATCACTCTGAACACCCTGATCACTCTGAACACCCTGATCACTTTGAGCACCCTGATCACTCTAAACACCCTGATCACTGATCACTCTGATCACTCTAAACACCCTGATCACTCTAAACACCCTGATCACTCTAAACACCCTGATCACTCTAAACACCCTGATCACCCTAAACACCCTGAGCACCCTGATCACCCTAAACACCCTGAGCACCCTGAGCACCCTGATCACTCTAAACACCCTGATCACTCTGAGCACCCTGATCACTCTAAACACCCTGATCACTCTAAACACCCTGATCACTCTAAACACCCTGATCACTCTGATCACTCTGAACACCCTGATCACTCTGAACACCCTGATCACTCTAAACACCCTGATCACCCTGATCACTCTGAACACCCTGATCACTCTGAACACCCTGATCACTCTAAACACCCTGATCACTCTAAACACCCTGATCACTCTAAACACCCTGATCACTCTAAACACCCTGATCACTCTAAACACCCTGATCACTCTAAACACCCTGATCACTCTGAGCACCCTGATCACTCTAAACACCCTGATCACCCTGATCACTCTAAACACCCTAAACACCCTGATCACTCTAAACACCCTGATCACCCTGAGCACCCTGAGCACCCTGATCACTCTGAGCACTCTAAACACCCTGATCACTCTAAACAACCTGATCACTCTAAACACTAAACACCCTGATCACTCTAAACACCCTGATCACTCTGAGCATCCTGAGCACCCTGATCACTCTAAACACCCTGATCACCCTGAGCACCCTGAGCACCCTGATCACTCTGAGCACTCTAAACACCCTGATCACTCTAAACAACCTGATCACTCTAAACACTAAACACCCTGATCACTCTAAACACCCTGATCACCCTGAGCATCCTGAGCACCCTGATCACTCTAAACACCCTGATCACTCTAAACACTAAACACCCTGATCACTCTAAACACCCTGATCACTCTGAGCACCCTGATCACTCTGAGCACTCTGATCACTCTGAGCACCCTAAACACCCTGATCACTCTAAACACCCTGATCACTCTGAACACCCTGATCACTCTGAACACCCTGATCACTCTGAACACCCTGATCACTCTGAACACCCTGATCACTCTGAACACCCTGATCACTCTGAACACCCTGATCACTCTGAACACCCTGATCACTCTGAACACCCTGATCACTTTAAATACCCTGATCACCCTGAGCACCCTGATCACCCTAAACACCTTGATCACTCTAAACACCCTGATCACTCTAAACACCCTGATCACCCTGATCACTCTGAGCACCCTGATCACTCTAAACAACACCCTGATCACTCTAAACAACACCCTGATCACTCTAAACAACACCCTGATCACTCTGAGCAGTCTAAACACCCTGATCACCCTTATCACTGATCACCCTGATCACTCTGAACACCCTGAACACTCTGAACACCCTGATCACTCTGAACACCCTGATCACTCTGAACACCCTGATCACTCTGAACAC